TTTGGTGTAGTGGTTAAGTGTGTGGACTCTAATCTGGGAGAACCGGGTTTGATTCCCCACTCCTCCGCTTGCACCTGCTGATGTGACCTTGGGTCAGTCACAAGCTCTAGCACAGCTGTCCTTGAAAAAGAGCAGTTTCTGTCAAGAGCTCTCTCAGCCCCACCCACCTCACAGGGTGCCTGTTGTGGGGAGGGGAAGGGAAAGGAGTTTGTAAGCCGCTCTGACACTCAAAGTGAAGGGTGGGGTATAAATCCAATCTCTTTTCTTCTTCTTCTCTTCTTTTACTTCAAGCAATGTTAAATAGTTGGCTGGACCCACAGTATTTTTGATAATTGCCCTCATCTTAATGTTTTGTATGCTGGAAATATCAGTTTGGCGTTCTATATCCTCAATTCTCTGCTTAACTAATATTTTTGCTTGGTGTGTTCCAAAAGATAAGAGCACCTTGGGGGGGGGGACACACCTATTTTTAGCAGATAGCTCTGAACAGACTTAAACCAATTTGATTGGAAGTTGTCGCAGAGTATCAGAGGGAGTAAACCCTGTGGGTTGAGACACCCAGGCTCCAACTTTTAAACAGCCTGTCTCCAGTCTTATCCTGGCATTTGACACACATCTAGGGACCTGTAAGACAGTTCTTAGGAACTTACACTGAACTCTTTCTAGAGGTGCAAAACAGGAACTGGGTGGCCCCATAAATGAGCCATATAACAGTTGGGCTAGCGTCTTATGGTGTGTAGGTTACAGCAAGCAGAATCGCATGAGGCTGAGGAGGAGCAGGAGTTCAGATCAGGAGGGGAGGGGGACGATTAGCCGAAGGAGCTTTGACCAGCAGGCCACAGAGGAAGAGGAAGAGGTGGACGGCAGTAACACCACCACCTGTGGGAGGGGGCAGCCAGCAGATATGTTGGGCCTTTCGGCCAGGAGCAGATGGAGGGAGGACCCTGGGCGGTATCAGGACCCCCTACATCATTACACATGTGCCCCATTGCTGCTCACGGGTCGTTGGCGCTTCTTTGCGCAAGACGGAGACCTCGCTCTACAGTGTCCCCCAGCCCCAGGCTCTTAACATGGTTTTTACCCTCTTGGGGAACCTGTGTGTGCCCGGAACCAGCTGAGAACGCATCTCTCCTGCCTCCAGCTGCCATTGGGGGAGAGAACAGGAAGTCGTTAGGGACCCCCGCTACATTGCCCGGAACTGCTTCCTGCGGAGTCCTCACCCGACCATCGGGGGGGGGGGGCGGTTGAGGTCCCTCTTTTTGGAGGCGGGGGTTTAATTCGCAAGGTTGTATTTTTTGGGGGGGCAGTCCTGGGGAGGCATCGAAGTACATGGAGACCCCCGACTTCTCTGCGTGCGGCCCAGTTTTTCTTGCTTTCACGAGTGGCTTGGGCTGGCGACTCTGCTCTTAGATAGAGCGGTTGGGAGAAAGGGGTGTCAGGTGTAGGGTTCTTAAGGCCAGAGATGAGCAGAGAAGGTTTTGCGGTTGCCTGCCTCTGTACCGTGACCTGGGACTTCCGTGGAGGTCCTCCCACCCAAGCACTAATCAGGGTTGATCCCGCTTAGCTTCCGAGATCTGACGAGATGAGGCTAGGCTGGGACATCCAGGTGAGGGCGCTAGAAACATCGATAGTGGTGACAATGGTATTTAGATAGATTCAGGTGGGTAGCCATGTTGGTCTGAAGCAGCAGAAAAAAGAACAAAACTTTGCTAGTCTTAAAGGTGCCACTGGACTCAGGAGCTTTTTAATGGTATTTAGAGTCACTCTCAAAGCGTCCGTAGGTTCCTTTTCCCCCGCATCAACAGCTTCTGATTCCCATTATACTCCCCCCCCCCCGTTTTAAAACCGTTGGCACCTATTGGCATGTAAGCTGCGCTTGTCTATTTGCAACACTCTGCCAGTGAACACCGTGATTACGCCGGCAAATTTAAGCCTTGACCACTTGGGCTTTCCGCTTCCGAACAAAGTCGTAGCGAGATGTGGAGAATGAATCGCAGGTGTGATTTACTGCTGCCGGAATCCTGCTCTGCGATACATCAATCCTTCTCTGCAAATGAAGTACCAAGTGTAGCTGAATGGGAACGCTAAGGCACCCATCAGGCCCCGAATGCAAACTTTCCAAAAGACAGGGGGCGGGAAATTGATTTCCTTGTTCATCAGTTATTAGAACAGAGGAAACACAGATACGGCGTTCCTGGCATTGTTAATTGTATTTTACAACTAATTTAAATTTGCAAGTGATCTGCAGAACATAAAGATCAGCTTTTAGTAAAACTTTCCTGGTTTTTGTCAGGTCTTCGTTTCATAAGATTTGGGCGTAGAGGTCTGTTTTCCCTGCCCCCCCCCCTCAAAAAAAACAAACAGGCCATTGATCTTCCTAGCTCTGAATTGTCTGCTCTGACCGGCAGTGGCGCTTCAGGCTCTTAAGCTTTTTCCAGCACTGTCCCTTTAACTAGAGAATTCCGGGGATTGAAGAGGGACTGTGGCTCATTGGTAGAGTGTCTGGTTGGCATGCAGAAGGACCCAGGTTCAATCCCTGCCAACTCCAGTTGAAAGGACCAGGCAGTAGGTGGTGTGAAGAAGGCCCTTTGCCTGAGACCCTGGAGAGCGGCTGCCAGTCCGAGTAGACAACACTGACTTTGGTGGACCGAGGGTCTGATTCAGCATAAAGCAGCTTCCTATGTATGTTTTCAGGGAGGGGCCGTGGCTCGGAGGTAGAGCATCTGCTTGGCATGCAGAACGTACCTGGTTCAGTCCCTGGCATCTTCAGTTAGAGGATGAGGCATTAGGGGATGTGAAAGACCCCAGCCTGAGACCCTAGAGAGCTGCTGCCAGTCTGAGTAGACCATACTGACTTTGATAGACCAAGGGTCTGATGCTGTGACATGTGTTCATGTGATCCCGGGGCCTTCTGTGCGCCAGTCAGCTGCTCTGCCGGTGAACCTGGTATTTTTGGCCACTGTGTGACACAGAGTGTTGAACTGGATGGGCCTTTGGCCTGATCCAACATTGGCGTCTCTTATGTTCTTATGAGCCATGACCTCTCCCAATGAAGCTGCCTTACACTGAGTCAGACCAGTGGGCCTGCGAGCTGGGTATTGCCTTCTTGGACCGGCAGCAGCTCTCCATGGTTTGGGGGACAGGAAGGTGGTTTTTTTCCCAGAAAACCGCTAGTGGGAATGCCCGCAACTGAACCTGGGAACTTCTGCCTGCCAAGCAAGTACTCAACTGCTGAACGGTGAGAGGTGCTCTCCAAACGACTCATGTGTTTGCACCATTTCTGGTAGCACGCTCTCACCCTCACCCCATCTTCTGCTCCAGTGTCTTTGCCCTAAATTGAAGATAACGCCAGCTGGAATAATTAATTAATAATCATTGTATGGCATATATGTAAAATAGCCAGGAGATCCTAAGATTGTCTGGCAGGTATGTTCTAGCTCTTTTGGCTTTATGCACCGCTAGGTGGCGGGCTAGACTTGTTTTTAAGGCAAGAGACCGTTTCAGAGGTGGTTTCTCTTTGCCTGCCTCTGCATCACGACCCTGGTACTCCTTGGAGGTCGCCCTTCCAAATCCTAGCCAGGGCCAACCCTGCTTAGCTTTCGAGATGTGATGCAATCGGGCTTAGATGATCCAGGTCAGGAAATTAGAACGAATGGCGGTGCCCAGTAAGCAATGGTGTGCTAAATGCTCTGTATTTCCTTTTCTTCCCCCCAGGGCTGACAGACGATGAAATTGAAGTCGCATTCCAGCAGTCGGGCACTGCCAAAGACGAGCCTCAGCACCAGAGCCTTTCTAGTCAGTTGGTGCCGACTCAGCCCCCTCCCCTTGCGCCATACAGTGAGTAACTCCTGAATAGTCTGCAAATGTTTTTTAATTCCTGGCACGTTCCAGTCCGTCGTGTTTCTCACGCAGTACTTACGCCTAACTGAGAGCCAGTGTCATTTAATGGTTAGAGTGGCAGACTAGAAGGTGGGAGATCCGGATTCGAATCCCCACTCTGCCCTGGAAGCCGGCTGGGTGACCGTGGGCCAGTCACACTCTCTCGGCCTAATTTACCTCACAGGGTTGTTCTGAGTTTAGAATGGGGATGGGGAGAATGAGGTAAGGCACTCTGGGTTTCTGTTGGGGAGAACCAGCGGGGTATGAAGGAAGTAAAATTTTAAAAATAAAATAATTCTTGAAACCGGTGACTTTGTAGTCATGGTTGCGGAAATATTTGAAAGTGGGGAAAGTGTTCCAGGTTTGGATAGAAGGAGGCAATTTTTTTTAAAAAAGAGGGGGCAAATAAAAGGCTGAATTGAAGTTTTCATCTGTTAAAATTCCTGAGATAGTGATTTCCCCAATAAAATTAGCAGAAAGCTCCGGCTGTCCTCAGGCAGGGCTATTTTTGGGCAGGAACGCACAGGAACGGAGTTCCGGCTGGCTCCCAAGTTGGCCACACCCAGCAGGAACTCATTAGCATAATAGGCCACACCCAACAGCAGAAACTCATTAGGATTGGCTACATTAGGGGTGTGTGGCCTAACATGCAAAGGAGTTCCTGCTACAAAAAAAGGCCCTGGGTTTTGACAACAAACAAGGTAAACAGAATAAGAAGCAAAAGGTGGGTGTGGCTGGATGACCACACTTCTGGTAACATGGGGGTGCGACCTAATGTGCTAATGAGCTGTGCTGTCAGGGGTGTGGCCCAATATGCTAATGAGTCTCTGCTGTTGGGTGTGGCCTATTATGCTAATGAGTTCCTGCTGGGCTTTTTCTACAAAAAGAGCCCTGTGACCTCAGGCTTCTACTCTCATTCATGAAAAGGCAAAGCAGATCAATCACGTGGGGCTCAACTGTGCCGTTATGTGGCAGCCCTTTGGATCAAGATGTGATTCGATCGCCCTGACCTGGGTAGCCCAGGCAAGCCCGATCTCATCAGATCTCGGGAGCTAAGCAGGGCCGACCTTGGCAAGTGTTTGGACGGGAGAACTCCAAGGAATACCAGGGCCGGGAGGCAGAGGCAGGCTATCAAGCCACTTCTCTGAACGTCCTCCGTGCCCCAGTAGGAGTTGCCAGAGGTCTCCATGACTTCCAGGCACGGGCACACACACAAAAATACAAAAAAGAAGAAGATGCAATTCAATCAGTTTCCAAGTGGCTTTCCTGAAGCAGATAAGAAGCACGTGTTTGACTCAGTGGAGCACAGCCAGTGGCACAGCCCTTCCTGTTCCTGTATGTTTCCAACATGGGTCAAGAAGGTGTAGGTACGACATGCTGGCTATCTAGCTTGGCTGTTGCACATATTTAAAAAAACGCCTTGGGATTGTGGTTGATCACAAGCCTGTAGGGCAGCAGGTTGACCGCTGTGTGAAGCAGGATGTTGAACTAGGTGGACCACTGGTCTGATCCAACAGGACTCTCCTTACCTGATTATGAACTTGAGCCAGCAGCGTTGTGCAGCTGCAAAAAAGGCGAATGCAGTTTTAGGTTCCGATTTTAGGTTGTATTAATAGAAGCATAGTATCCAAATCGTGCAAAGTAATAGGTCCACCCGACTCCATGCTAGTCTACCTCATCTGGAGGGCGGTGTCCAGTTTTAGGTGTTGCAGGAGGCGATGAAGATGGTTGAGACTCTGGAAAACAGGTTTCATAAGGAGTGGTTAAACCCTGGAGAAAAGAAGTCTCCTGGGAGGTATGATTGTGCTCCAGCTACCTGAAGGGCTCACACATGGAAGAAGGCAGAGATGTGTTGCTCCAGGGGGAAAGACTAGCCCTGAGAAGCTTCAGTCACAGGAGGGGAAATTTTGGTTGGACATAAGAGGACACTTTCTAACAGTGGGGGATGTGCCCTCTACCTCACCGGAGGCCTTGGAGCAGAAGCGAAAGCTTTGGATTTCGTGCATTGAGCAGGGAGTTGGACTAGATGGCCTTGAAGGTGCCTTCCAGCTCTGTGATGGTATAAACAGCAACATGGAGCATGTGAGTGAGATCGAAGTGCAGGTATTTAGCACCTCTTTCCTCCCGTGGCTGACCTCCTGTGTCTCTTTGTGTTTGGTCTTTTGTGGTTCGGTCCAGGAAGGACCTGCACTTTGTGCTTTTTTCTCTTTTTTTGCGCTTTTGAATCAGACTGGTGGGTCTAGTGTTTAATTTTTTTTTTAAGTCACTGGAAGTTGTGGCCTCCATTGCATCTTGCGGCCATGAATTCCATAAGTTAATTGCGTGCTCGCTTTATTATTTTATGTCGATGTATTTTTTAAAATGTGTCTTTTGGCTCCATGGGCGCTCTCTGCGTCTTACAAATTCCATAAATGAAAAGTTAAATCCAGCATCGTATGAAGAAGTATTATTATTGCCTTGTTAATTACTTTCCTCTGCGTTTCTCATCCTAGGAGGAGAAATATCTAGGGAATGTTGAGAAGTTAACATTCCCTTATTTATTCAAAGCCTTTCGCAGAAAATTCAAGAACAACAGCCGTGTTAAATAACTTTTTTATTAGGACAATCAAATTGTCCCAAAGAAACCAGCTAAGCTTTGGAGTTCTTCAGAACGTTTCCCCCCCAGGATGATTAGTCAGTACAAAAAAATAATAATAATTAAAAGTGGGGAATGGAGGAGAAAATGATGTTTTAGTGCATGATGAAACAGCCCAAAATTCTGCATTTTATAGTAGTCTCAAAGTGAAGTATAGGAAGCGTTGCAGACTTGGTGAGAACAGGTAGTGATGGGTACATAGCAGTTTTCAGAATACAGTGAGGGATGCTAGGGTAGAGGAGTAAAGCCACAACCACACTCTCTGAAAACAATCCAGCAGTAGTTCGGCTCTGTCTCCAGTGCCAGTCAAAACACCCAATTCCTCTGCAAGGTAAAGAGAGAAGGGAAAACGTGCTGATACTTTATATTAACAAAGCTGGAGGTTAATTTTAGGTGATGCATTGGAGTCCATAAAAACCAAACTGGGTAGCATTGCATAGCGGTTGGAGGCATGTAGCTCCCAAGTCCTGCTGGGAGCTTTCAGATGCTCATGCTGGAGAATAGGTGGTTGAATGTTGACTGTTACTGGCTCTCCTCCCTGGATTTGGTATTGTAGCTTCATGTGTTTTAGGTGTTCTCTTTTTTTAACGAATTACTCTACAATATTATTTTAAATGCTGTTTTGACGTAGAAATATTTTAATGTTCTGATGTCTGCTGCCTTGAGGGCCCTGTTTGGGTTGAAAGGCGGCATAGGAATGTTTGAAATAAAATTTATACGTAGAGCAACTGCAGTGTAGAGGTTGGAGTGTCGGACTAGGTTCTGGGAGAGCCAAGTTCGAATCCGTACCCTGCCATGGAAGCTTGCTGGGCGACCTTGGGCCAATCACACATTCTCAACCTCACCTACTTCACAGGTTTGTTGTGAGGATAAAATAGAGGGCAGGAGAACGATGTCTGTCACTATGGATTCCCATTGCATAGAAAGGTGGGGTGTAAATGAAACATTTTTATTTAATTTCTATAATTTTTTGGTATAGAAATAGTCACACAGGGGAAGGCCTGCTGGCTATTCTAAGGAGCAAGCCCATTATGAGAGGCAGCAGAACTGCAGGAGGCCCTGTATGGTTGTCACCCGGCGAAGACGGAGGTCCTGTGCTTGAGTCGTGGTGGTCTGGGGTTAGGGCTGCCTCTCCTGACCTTCGATGGGGTGCCTTGGGAAAGGAGTTTGTGAGCCGCTCTGAGACTCCTTTGGGCAGTGAAGGGCGGGGTATAAATCCAATCTCTTCTTCTTCTTCTTCTACCTCGCAGGGTGTCTGTTGTGGGGAGGGGAAGGGGAAGGAGTTTGTAAGCCCCTCTGAGACACCTTCGGGTAGTGAAGGGCGGGGTATAAATCCAACCTCCTCTTCTCTTCTTCTTTATTTATTCATCTTAGTATATGTATTTAATTTCACCTAGTCCATCTTGTATCCATGTTGCATAATTGTATCATTGTATGGTGCTAAGCTTTAACCTGTGAATACAGCAGGGAAAAGGGACCGCCTTTCCCCATATGTTCCCCAGCGAGCACTTTGGTCCGGGACGTGACATCTCCTGGCAATGCCAGGCCCCAAAGAGGCCAGGCTGACCGCTACCAGGGCCAGGGCTTTCTCGGTGGCGGCTCCTACCTGGTGGAATGAGCTCCCGGAGGAGATCCGGGCCCTGCGGGGCCTTGTACAGTTCCACCGGGCCTGTAAGACGGAGCTCTTCCACCAGACATATGAGTAGGAGCCGCCACTACCATCACTATTGCTCCATCTTAATCTGGCCCTGGATGAGGGAACATCAGCGCTTCCCGGAGCAGATGATGCTGAACAGTTGAAATACGCTATCTGTGAAATATCATCTGGAACATCTAGAGCACTTTAGTTAGTTAATAACTTGTTAATAATGTTTTTGTATTGTATAGATTTTAAATGGTTTTAAATATGTTTTTATATTGGCGTATGCCCCTATGTAAGCCGCCCTGAGCCCGCATTGCGGGGAGGGCAGGGTATAAATTGAATAAAATAAATAAATAAATAAATTGTCACCCAGCTCCCCAAGCCAAGACGGCTACGTTTTCTTGGGCCGTCACGGCTGAAATTTCCTTGTTTTGGAATAGCTAACTGGAGGAAGTCAGGTGGGAGGCCTTTCCAGATGTCCTTGAGCAGATTTGCAAAAATCAAGTTGCTCTGCACCAAGTTCTAACTGAGCTTCGACTTGGGCGGACTGATGCGTTCATGCATACAACTTAAGTTTGGTTCGCTCCGGTGGCCGAGGACAATCACCTCTCCCCCTTCCGTGTCGTCCATTCCTCGGGTCGGGCGAGCGCACGTGTGGACCGTGGCCCCCCCTTTGCGCCT